ACTGGGTGCTACTCGACCTGCTCATCCATAAAGTTGGGCACATGCAGCTGTAATCTGTCATCAAGTGAAGATGGGGCATGAGAGGATGGGTTGGAGAAAATCCAGAAGGCACAGGTCAGTGAGTGAGCAGGTGGCTGAGACCCCCGTGACATGCACTCCTGCTTGTGTTGACTCCTCTCTCAATCTACGTCTGTGGCCCGCATCAACTTCTGTGACTAGATGGCTGAGACCTGCCTTCAGATGGTTCTCTGGGATATGTGGGTACCAGCTGAGAGTGGGCCGTGGGAGCTCTGGAGTGTTTCTGGTAAATGGCGGGGAAGGGAAATTGTCCCAGTGGATGGAGCTTGAATAGAACAAATAGTTCTCGCTTTTCTGGACCGAAAGACAGTCAGAGGAATTAACCTACACTAGCGATTCTCAGCAGTGGGTGCTCTCCAGCTCCAGGGATATTTGGCAATGTCTGGAGACATTTTCGATTGCCATAACTAGGTGGGGGTGCTACTGGCATCTAGTGAGTGGAGGTCAGTGTATTACTCATGGTTCTCCAGAGAAGCATAACCAATGGGATAGAGATATACAAAAACAGATTTACTGTGATGGGTTGGCTTACGTGATTGTGGAGATCTCATGATCTGCGCCTGCAAGCTGGAGGCCCAGGAAAGCCCCTGATGTAGCACCAGTCTGAACCCAAAGCTCTGAGAAGCAAGGAGGCCAATGGTGTAAGTCTGGTCCGAGTCTGAGGGCTGGAGAGCCAGCACAAGGGCAGGAGAAGATGGATGTTTCAGTTCAAGCAGAGAGTGTGAACTCAACCTTCCTCTGCCTTTTTGTTCTATGTGGGCCCTTCACGATTTGGATGAGGCCCACCCACGTTGCTGAGAGTAATCTTTACTCAGTCTATGGATTCAAATGCTAATCTCTTCTGTAAACACCCTCACACACACCCAGCAATAATGGCTTACCAGCTAGCCGGGCATCCCTTCACCCAGCCAAGCTGACACATAAAACTAACCATCACAGGCAGCCAGGGATGCTGCTGCTGAACATCTAACAATGCACACAGGACTGTCCCCTACAGAAAAGAATGATCTGGCCCCGAATTTCAATAGTGCCACTATTGAGAAACCATGATTTACACTGATTCATGGGCAGGTGAAAACAATTCGCTAGATGGTCAGGAACTTGGAAAGAACAGGATTCCAAGATTGGTGACAAGGAAGCATGGTAACAGATGTATGTCCAGGAAAGTGGGGGAGGATGTATGTGGCTGGATTGCTCAGGTGGTGTAAAGAGACTGGAGATATTTGGGTGGCATGTTTATGCTCACCAGGAGCTCCCTGTGCAGAGGAGGCTCTTCAGACTCAGGTGGACAAGAAAGCATGCTCTGTGATGCTAGCTGACCTTCCCACCAGCCATCCTGATGTTTACTGACCCTCTCACCCGCCATCCTGATGTTTATTCAATGCGCCCAGGACCATGAGTGCAGGGATGCAGGCTGTGAATGAGCACAATGACATGAATTTCCTCTTGCCAAGGCCAGCCTGGAGGCCACCGCTGCTTTGCTGGAGTGATCTTCTGACAGCTCCCCTGTGGTGCATTCCTGGGAAGGGCCAGCCAGATGCCTGTTGGCCAGCTGGACCCCTTCATAAGGGAAAATCATTTTCCCTCACTAGAATGGGTGTGCCCTGGATTCGGATTTGCTCTCCCTGTCTGCAATGCTGCCGCCAAAAGCCACTATCATGGACGAAAACAGTGCCTGATTCATTGCTGTGGTATTCTACACAGTGTTACTTCTGATGAAGAATTGCAATTTTACGGCAATGAGATCATGCAAAAGGACTTCACTTACTGCACATCCCACTGACCCAGAAGCAGCTGACTTCATAGCACTGTGGACCTGCCTACTGAAAACTCAGTTAGGATGCCAGCAGGGGGACAGCTCCCTGAAAGGTCGGAGTTCTACCTTACAGATGGAGTTTGGGATTTGAATCAGCAACTGCCATATGGTCTGCCATATGGTGGTCCCATGGCCGGAACACACGGTCTGGGAAACAAGAGGTGGGCATATGAGGAGCTCTTGTCACTACGAAGCCTCGTAAGCAAGAATCTGTACCTGCCCCTGCCTCACACCCCGTAACCAAGAATCTATACCTCCCCTGCTGCAGACCTTAGCGCTTTTCTGTTTTGTAGTTCTTACTTCCCCAGGGAGCTTCCCAACAGGTGGCACAGTGATTTCGCTGAACCCGGAGCTGAGACCTGGCCATTTTGGGCTTCTGAGCTAGCTGAATCAATGCAAAGATGATCGTTACTCTACTGGCTGGGTGACTGAATGAGTTGTTACTACATAATGGGGGCCAAGAAATGATGTCTGAAATCTAGGGGACTCTTTGGGGTGCCTTTAATTTTGTCCACATCAAAAAATAAGTTAATGGTAAACAATGGCATTGAACAAAAGGACCTGTGAGGACTCAGAATCTACGGGAATGAAAGTTTGGATTGTGCATCAGGTAAAGAATCCCAACATGCTGAGGTCTGCCTGAGAGCAAAGCCAACATGGAATGGTTATGGAAGAAGGGAGTTTCAAACATCAACCGTGCTCTGTGGCCAGCTTCAGTTCCGGGGGGCCTGCAGCAGGGAGGCATATTTGCCTATCTTTCTTCTTGCTCAGTGTGCGTGTATACACATACATGTGCGTGCATACGTGCATATATATGCATGTGTGTAGGTGGGTCAAGATGCACAGGGACTTGCTTGTTCCTTTTGCTTCCAGTTTCTCTCAATGTTGTCTTAGCAACAGCTCTTCACTTGCTAGCTGCAGTTTGCTTCAATTTCATTCCCCCCCACCACATGAAAGAAGCTGTTAAATCACACCCCCTCCTGAGACACCAGCAACCCCTCCCTGGAGATCTGAGACTAGCACCGTGAGCCTCCTCCTCTGGCCTCCTGAGGCACAGGCACCAGCTGGGAGGAGCTCCCTTTTCAAGGGTCTGACCTCAATGCTGTGGAGCCCTGCCCTCTCTGCCTGTGGATTTTAACAACGCGCCTCTTTGCTTTGCCCCTGACCCTGTGAGGGAGCTGCTTCTTGTACGTTCTCTCCGCGGGACCTGTATGTCTCCTTTTTGTATTTTTTAGGCTTCCAATACCTGCTTGACTAGTTTCGTATATTAAATTCTCTGTTAAAACGACTGAGGTGACTTCTGTTTTCCTAAATACACAGATTCTTTGATTTGGTGGGGAAACTTCAAGAGCCTTTTCTTGAGTCGCTCATTTCACTGAACAGAAACCTGGGGCTGGAGGGGTGAGATGCCTTCGTCAAGGTCAATTCTGGGGCCAGACTGCCTGTCTCCCAATCCAGGGCTCCTACCACCATCCTATATAGTCTTCTAAGCACTTTTCAAAGCTTCAGATGCAGGATTTTGCCTCTCATATGGGATTCTCTGCTTGTCCTGAACAAACTCGGAACAGTTTCCTATTTCCTCATGTAGAAAAACATTAGAGCCAGAAACGGATGGTCCCATCGGCCTTAAGAGGATTCCATGGGTATGTAGTGGCCATTGCACCAGCAAATCCCACAGCCCCACCAGGTATCTTTCCTGTCCTTCTCCCATCTGTGCTAACTCACCCCCAACCTGGAGCCAGATGGACTTGTGTGTCACCTTCCCCCAGACTGTGAGCTCCTCCTGGGCGGGGGCCTTGCCCATTCCTTAGGATGACAATGTACTCTGATGCTGGGAGCACAGACCCTTGTGTCAGACACACCTGAGCTGGAATCCTGGCTTTACGTCTTACCTCGCCAAACCTTACTTTTCTTGTCTACAACACAGAGATTTTGCTATCTCATAGGGTTGTTGCATGGACTGAATTCCACTATGCGGAGAATGTGCCACCCCCAATGATGCCTATTCAGTGTGTGAGGCCCTGTCATCACCACCTCCGTCACTGTCCCAGTGCATGGCACACAGTGGGTTGGGACTGAGTCCTGGGTGCATCACACCTGCTTTAGACAGGCCTGTGGCCTGGACCCCACCCACAGCCTCCTGAGGGGGCTTCTTTCTTCTACAGAGGCAGCGCCTCTCCTCCGTAGAAGAGCACTCACAGACAAAAATTCATGGCAAAATCCTCCTCCTCCTCTATGCTCCCAGCTGCCATTCTCTTGCTTATGGTTGCAACCTCTGGTGAAGACATGTTAAGGACAACCCTATTCAGCTTCTGATATGGTTTGGCTGTGCTCCCACCCACATCTCATCTTGAATTGTAGCTTCCATAATTCCCATGTGCTGTGGGAGGGACATGGTGAGAGGGAATTGAATCATGGGGGTGGTTTTCCCCATACTGTTCTCGTGGTAGAAAGTCTCATAAGATCTGATGGTTTTATAAGGGGTTTCCCCTTTCACTTGGCTCTCATTCTCTCTTGCCTGCTGCCATGTAAGACGTGCCTTTTGCCTTCTGCCATGATTGTGAGGCCTCCCCAAACACGTGGAACTGTGAGCTCCATTCAAACGCTTCTTTTTCCATTGTTTATAGATTACCCAGTCGCAGGGTATTGTCTGTTTATCAAGGAGGTGCGAAACAGACGCCTAAAATGTACAGCTTTCATCCAGGACAAAAATGTGTCATGGTCATTTTAAAAAAGGGAGAAAACTATTTTCCTCTTACATGAATGAAACTTGGCTGGGCGTGCTGGCTCGTGCCTGTAATCCCAGCATTTTTGGAGGCTGAGGCAGGTGGATCACTTGAGGTCAGGAGTTTGAGACAGCCTGGCCAACATGGCGAAAAACCCGTCTCCACTAAAAATACAAAAAAAAAAAAAAAAAAAAAAAAAAGAATGAAACTGTGACAACTGGGTTTACATCTCATCTGGGTGGGAAAACACTTAAACAAAACAATACTGGTATGGATGGATGCCTGATATAGTCCTCTTCCTCTTGGCAATAAAGCTTTTCTTAGATGGCATTTTACGAGAACACAGGAGTCAGTGGGCAAATAATTGGACCAAGCAATACTTTACAAACATGTTAATTTTATTGAGTAGGCATCAAAGCTTCTCTCTGTGTCAGGTAATGGAGAAGCCATGTCACACAGATTACAGAGCTATTTTTACTTGAAATAATCTTTCATAAAAGAAAGAAATTAAATACAATTCTTCTATAAAAAGTGCAGTAGTCATTACTGGAAGTTTTCCAAAATGAAAGCAAGATTTACTACATATTGCAAAAATTGGTTTAGTGCTTTAATACTTTACAAAGTAATATCCCAACCACAGAAGACAGCTCTTACAATGGGTTTCTTCTCCAAGAATGGACCGGATTGAAAAGGATATTTGCATTGAATTGGAATTAACACCTGCAGGTAAAAAGGGGTTCTGCACAACTGGGTCAAAGTAATGTGACTGACGACCTGTTTTTGCCTCATTATTTTCCTTTGTCCACAGTAATAAAAAAAAAAAAAAAAAAGGAGAAATAAAGCAACATATGTCATCCAAAAACCAAAGAAACCAAAAAACAAAAAAGAAAGAGGAACATTCACTGACTTCATTAGGCCAAACGCATGTTTAATGGAACAAAGCAAACACAGGGTGAGGATGGTCCCTTGTTATAATTTACTTCAACAATCCTTAGTTAAAACAAGGCCAAATTCTCAAAGGTGATGGTGAATGGAGTTCAAACTCCGTAGATGAGGCAGTAACGGGTCACTAAGGAGCTTAGTTCCTCTGTGGACCCAGCTGAACCTGCTCCTTGCTCCTAACAGCGCCTTTACTTATAGGACTAAGAGCCCAGCCTTTCCTACCTGTGGGCCCGGGGAAGCGAAGCTCCTGCTGAATGGTGACTGGCTCTGTCAGAGGTGGGGCTTGCCTCTGCGTGTACAGGGGCTCGAGGCCACAGCTGATCTCCAAAGCATGCTCATGGTGAGTTTCCTAGTTTTGGTCCTAAGTTAGTGGAGACAAGCTGCCCCACTCCCCGCTGCCAAGTCATCATTCCATATCAGGTGTTTGGTTTCCATTCCTGCAAGCGGGAAGAATGTGCGCAAAGAGCTGGACAGCCCATAGGGCCTGGGAGACCTCCATGGACACCTGCCATGGAGAAAGTTTGCATGGGCCAAGGGGGCAGGCTCTTGGGAAGCACACACTCCCCCCCTGAGTGCTGGCAGGAGCAGGCCTCCAGTCTGTTTGGGCGGCAATGAAAGGGACACTGTTTATTTGACAATTCAAGCACAGGAACGCACATGTAGGGGCCCAGTCACTGCTGGCTGGACAGCTGCAGAGGGGACGTTACGATGGAGACCTTATGCCCCCTCCCATGAAGGACCTGAAAATATGGCATCAAGAGAAATGACAGCAAAACCACAGAAGCGGATTAAAGAGAAGGACAAAGCCTTTAACCAGGTCACAGTAGGACAAAAGTCCCATAAGAAGCTTGTAACAGTATTTTGCCAACAACTCTTAGAAGAAAATGCATTTGGCCAAAGGACCTAGAAGTAAACACCAAGGTTAGGTAGTTGTCAAAATCATCTGGCAGGGGCAGGAAGGTCACTGGAGGACCCACACCTCCCTGCTGTGGGTGAGGCCAGCTGCCAGCACTGGGTCCTGGGCCCAAGGCGGTGTGTGTTGCTTGGCTCTGTGGCGTCAAGACTCTGACCTTCCAGTGCACCTCTACCAGCGGCCAATGGGGATACCCAGGGACCTTGGCTCTCTGGTCCTGCTGCTTCCAAATTTGTCAGTGCAGTTGCCCAGCCCTGTGCTGGTTAATGTTTGTGACAAGCTCCTCTTCCTCTGCAACCTGCTTTGGTCGCTGGAGGATGAGTCCTTCTAATGGTCAGATGGACTTTCCCTGGGCTGGGCCATCTGCTGCCACCCGTGTGGAACTGGGAAGGACTGGGAGACACCTAAAGACTGATGAACAAAGGATTCTCTGGAATGGTCCAGGTCTACAGTGACCTCACGGAGTGACGGGAACCCGCTACTGTGCATCTGACTACTAGAGCTACCCGTCTAAAACTGTCTTCATCCCAGCTGGTTCCAAAATGCTCCCCTGCGAACAACGAGCCTCACATCTGTGCGGGTTAGCGGCAGGGCAGGCGTTCACAGACAGAAGCCACCACTGCTGCCCAGTGTTGCTCAATGCCATATCTAGCCATCTTGTACCCACAGGAGCCAGGTCACTGGGTCAACTAAAGTTCTCACAATAATAGAACCTAGATTTGATGAAAGCTGAAATTGACACTTTCTGGCCTCTTAATAGGTTTCGATTTACTGATTTCATTTCCTTCTTTCAACAAATACTTATCCAGTGCCTAATAGGTATCAGGCACTGTTGTAGGCACCAGGATACAGTGATGAGCAAGACACATGAAAGTTCCTGCCCACGTGGAGCTTACAGTCTATGGGAGACAGGGAGGCGAGAATCAAATAAATGGATGAATGATTAACATCTGCAGCACTCAGATGGTGAGAAATGCACAAGAAGAAGATGCAGAGAGGTGGGTAGGGAGGGAGAGTGGGGTGTGTTGTTATTTTAAATAAAGAAGTCAGGGAAGGCCTTGTTGAAAGGTGACATTGGAGCAAAGACTGGCAGGTAGTGAGGGGTGAACCATGTGGCTCTCTGGGGAAGAATGTTCCAGGTAGAAGGAATGACATGTGCAAAGGCCCTGAGGCAGGAGGGTGCCTGTGACTAGAAATGGCAGGAAGGCCTACGTCCCAGGGCAGAGCAGCAGGCAGAAGTAGTACTGGGGTGGGAGAGGCCTTTGTAAGGACCTGACTTTTCCTCTGCCATGGGAAGCTGTTTCTTCATTTAAAGTAGCACTCCAGTGTCTGTAGATAAATTCTAAAACAGCTGGTTTCACTAATTTGTCCTCATTAAATTAATAGGTTGCTTTGGTCTTGAATAGATTTGGCCTATATTTACTCTTAAAACCAAATGGCACTCTTCACCTTACGTTAAACAAATGTGTGTGTGTATACATATATATCCTTGAGATGCTCTTTGGGAGGAATAAAAAGATATAAGCAATGTGCATCATTCTGTATGTACATAATTAGGATTAGTGAGGCCCCCTTTTTTGGCAAGATAAAAATAGCAAAAATGCAAATTTCAACAAACTATTTGGCAAAATAAATAGAAATAGTAGTATTACTAGCATGGTTGGAGATGATGGCTTCAGTGCTGTTCTGCAATGACGTGTGTCTTCCGCTCAGCCTGGTGGGGCCAAGTTCTTCATACTGCGCAGACTGCACATACCTGTTGTTCCCGGGGGTCCCTGCAGGGCATCTCCCTAGCTCTTTTCTGCTGGGGTGCAGTGGGAAGAAGAATAGATCTTTTGGAAAAGAAGGGACCTGCATAACTGCTAACAGGCCAATCTGCACAGTGCCCATACCTGTCTTTCACGACAGAAGCTTGCAGAGTGGTCCAGCCTGGATGTGCAGCAGGGCCTCCCGGGGTAAGTGTGGGGGGCTCTCCCCATGGCATGTGCTGGCCTCTCCATCATGAACTATCCAGGACCCACTCCTGAGTCAGTGAGGCAGCACTGGCAGAAATACACTCTGGGCCAACAGACCCAGAGCTGTGGAGAGGACACGGGCAGCGGGGTGGAGTTGAATGACACAAGAACAAAGCTGAGCGCTGGTCACTGCCCTGGCCAGCCACACTAAAACGGGCCAGAGTTTTGAGTCAGGAGCAAATGTGAAGGTGGTGCCTCAGGTCTCCAAAGAGCCATCACTTTAAGGCGTTTTGGAAGGGGATACCTGCTCCCTGACATGCCAGCTACCTCTGGGCCCTTCATATGGTGTGTCTGTCCTCAGCTGGCAGCAGAACCAGACTCAACTAGAGCAGGGGCCGCCTCTGCAGCCCAGTGAGGATGAAGCCAGAGCTGGTAAGGTCTGCTTGACCCCACAGGGCTCGCTCAGTCATGGAAACACATTTCTTCTTGTTTATTAGAAGCACTGAAGATAAAGGATAGAACACTGGGGAAACTTAATTTGTGAAGTCCACACCAAGATGAGGAGAAAAAGAATCTTGTCATAAAGAAAGGAGCCCCAAACATACAGCAGATGCCTCCAGCTTTTACTCCAAGTCTCTTAGTAAATAAAAGACCCACATGGAATGGAACTTACACACACGGATTTGGAAAAGTCTTTGTTTTTTTCTTGCACAAATTTCCCACCATTGATAAGTACAGCCCTTTTATCTTAACTAATGTGAACTATATTTTGCTAGGTTAAGTTTATTTTTGCAAAGTAGAATGGTTTGCAAAATAAGTTTGTGGATATTAAGTGGGGGGAGGTGGGGGTGGGCGATGGACCCATGACCCCTCCTCAGAGACAGGGCGGGCGCTGCATGGAGGATGTCCACACCCTGAGGTGTGCACCTGGGGGGCATGGAGAGTCCTTTTATCTTCAGCCACCCAATTCTTGACAGTAAGCTATGAGAATGAGGAAATTAAATCATTTGGAAAAACATTCAATTTGTAAAGTAATAGATTCAAATGCCACTGGGTGGTAATAGGTAAGAAAAGGTCCACAGTAATTTAGTGAATACAAAGTATTCATTTAAGAGGAAAGGTGCAGTACCAGAATCCATGAACAGAAAAAAAGGAAATCAAGCTTTCAATAAAAACAGACATTTATACATACCCACTTTCAGAAGGTATTCGAACAAGCAGCAAAAAGCGTTTAACCCCCGGAGCCCAGAGTGGAGCTCCTTCCCACCTCCAGTTACCCTTCTAAGGGACAACCCTGTGACAATAAAGGGTGCAAAATATTGCTCTGTGGCATGTTCTGAAAATAATACAAAAATAATTTTTATAGTATAGTTTAAACTTGGCTTGTAAAATTTCAACGTAACACAGCATAAAATCTACAAACAGAATACACTGAAAAACACCTTCCCTTAACAATATATTAAAAAAATCATTTACCCAGGTAACAAATGTGCAGGAAATGTAAATTTCTGAAGTAACCTTCACAGGGGTTTAGAAGTATCTGGGATCCTCTGGAAACCTGCAGTCCCTTGGAGACACCTGTCCTTCCTAGAAAGGGAAGTGTGGCCAGATCAGGAGGGGAAGGCTGCTCTCAGGCAGGGTCAGCGACGACAGCAGGGCCATACACCCCAGGGGGACTCACCTTCTTCCCTTTCTCCCTGCTCCACAAAGGGCCCTCATGCCATGGAATATGAGGGAAGCCCTTGGCCCACATGCAGTCAACACAGTTTTTAATAGTTCCTGGCCAGCCTGATGAAGTTGGTCTCTGGCCAGGGACGAGGTCTAAACAGCTCTTCTCAAGGAGCATGCTGTCGGTGCATGGGGCCTGCACATTTAATATGACTATCGGCTCTCTCTCCCTTTTTTTTAAAAATACTGTTTAGAGGAAGGATGGATTCAGATCCTATTCCTAAGTCATGTGGACTGAGTGGTAATGTACCAGCCTGGAGCGTGTGTCTTCCGCTCAGCCTGGTGGGGCCAAGTACTGAGAAGCTGGGGCGCGGGATGCAGCCAGTGGTTTTATCTCAGGCTCTTATTTAGGGCACATCTGTCATCAGATGGTGATGGGTGGAGGTAACTTTGAAATGCAAGGGTAGAATAGGTCCTGGTGCTTTGATAATTACGTACTCTGCCTGGTTTGGAAGGTTTTCCTGTATTACAACGGACTGTTTTTATTCTGTTTTTTTTTTTTTTTTTTTTTAAATTAAACAAACCAGGCAGATCTCATGAGAAAGAAAATATCTGAATTTGCATAGCCAGTTTTAGAAACTTCTGGTTGGCTGTTTTTACATTAAGAAATGAGAAAAACAAGAGTTGACTTTATGCCTCCTTGACATCTTGTGCATGCGAGTTTGGTTTCTGAATGGACCACTGAAGCATTTTTAAGGTTGGGTGTCTCCATCTTTTAGGAGTGAGGGGCATGAGGAGTGGCTGGCATCCACACCCGAAGCAACACTTCCTGTGACCCCATAGCTTTGGATGCCAAAGCGGCTGCTCAGCGTGACACGAAGAATCAGTCCAGAAAGCTGCCACAGACCCTCTCCATGAGATTTTTTAAAAACCACTTTTGTTTTCTGAGTAATAAAAGAAATCCCAGTAATATCAGGGACGTGAATGTTAGTACAGTAATCACCAGACATTGAAAATATTGTTCAGCAGGAAAAGTAAAACTTTCAAAAAATTTCTTAAAGATCCTATTTAATAAATAATTTTTGATTTAAGGAACCACTTATGCAAAACTTGAACAAATTACTGAAAACTCCACCTGCTGTGGAATAATTAAAAGCAAAAAGGCATTACTCACAGGAGATAATTGTTTTATTATAATTTTCCAAACAAGTAAAAAAAATCCCCTCCCACTTTTTTGTTTGTTTGTTTTTGCTGCTCTTTAGTTAGGGAAAAAAGCATCGTTTCTAGAGGAGAAGCTGGCTCCAGTGAAGAGATGGTCGACCTCCTGCTTTTTCTGAGGATACACTCACAGCAAAACCAGGCGCTTTCTCCTTTCCTAGGAGTATTAGAAGCTATTCTAAGGCTCTCACAGGTTTTATAGTATTCTTTTGTTAGTGAGGATTTTACCCATCTTATCCTCATTTCTTGGAAACAAGTTCGTTCCTTAGTGAGGCAGGTTTAGCTCCTCAGTGTCCCTGGCCAAGAATGGTGTTCTCCGGAGGTAATCTTGGAAGGAAGAGGCTGCATATTGCTGCTCAAAACAGGGTAGCTAAGGACACATTTTTTTTTTTTTTCCCTCAAGAAATGTAGGAGGCACCAAAAAAGAGACCGCACAGGGATCGGGCTGCTCCCTCATTGTGTCACGAGACGGAGGCAGGGTCGTCCTGCCCCACGAAGGGGCCACGATCACAGTGAGTCCCTTTACCTGGCTGAACCCAGACAGATGCAGGTGTTGGGGTGGGCTTCCTTCCTGGTTCCCCCAGCTCCTCCCCTTTGGAAAGAGCAGAAACCTAGTGGGGGCTTACACAGTGACCGAAGGGTGAATTCCTCGCTGTCTCCCGGGGCACCGATGGTCATCGCCCAGGGGCCCTCCAGCGACAGTCCACTGTGGAAGTGCCTTCAAAGGAGAAATGTGAGCAGGCTGTCCTATCTTCTCCTCTATGGGCAAATCCAAATTGTGAGATGGGAACCCTGCTTTTTGGACCCTAGGTGTCTTTGGAAAGCTCCTGTCACCTGAGCTGCCCGGCACTGGGAGTCATCGCTGTACCTAACCGCGCCCGCGAGACGGGTGGTCCAAGTGCCCTTCCCACGGCCCCCCGCGGCTTGGATGGCAGTGTGTGAATGGTGCTTGAGCCGGGGCTGGGGGAGGAGGTTTGGCTTATGAAATGGAGCTGTGTGTTTCTAAAGGGCTACAGTGACCACCAGGGCGTCAGCTGGCGGCCAGGTACCCGCCTTCTCCTAGGTCCCGGGATGGGAGGCAAGTGGAGCTCGCAGAGGAGCCTCCACCGCAGCCCCGGGTGCGCGTTCACTCTAAGCCCTGGGTACTACCAACCGCGCACAGGGGACCGCTACCTGGAAGAGGTCATCGCTAGGTTAGGAGAAAAAAAAAAAGCAAAAAAAGCATGTAAAACACTCCCTTCTAAAAACAAAGGGCTGCGAATTTCTTTATTTCTTACTGAGGAACAAAAATACTCTTGCAATGGCTATTGAGTTTCCACAGGTACGAGGCAGATGCTAGGCTAGCACACCCACTTCCAACAGTATGACTTGTTTCCTATCCGTCTACTACCTGAGTGGCGTCAGTGTAGGTTCAGGCACCATTAGGAACGTTTGACCAAACACGTACACGGCACTGACAGAGGAGGCGCCGGCCTTCCGGTGGACCAGAGCATGTAAAAAAGACACCGACACAATGGAAAAGAAATCCTCGAAGGTAGAACCTCGCCGCCTGCGCCGCGCCGCTCAGGGCCGGGCCCCACGCGCCTCGCGCCGCCGCCGCAGCTCCTCGCGGTAGCAGTAGGAGCAGTAGTGCTCGGTCTCGGCGCGCCCGTAGAACGCACAGTTCTCGCGCTGGCAGCGCCGCTGCGCCGGCCCCGGGCCGCCACGGCCGCACTCACCGTTCGAGCGCGCGGTTGGCGCGTCGGCGTCGGCGAACTCCAGGCCGTCGCGCGCGGCGCCGAAGCCGTTGGTGTAGGTCTGCGACTTGTGCTCTGCCGCCCCCGCCGGGCCCGCCGCGCCCGGTAAGGCCCCGGGCACCGCGCGCGCCAGCGACTCGACCGTGTTCACGGTGCGCAGGGCGGCGGCGCGCGCCGGGCTGTAGCTCTGCGACGACAGCGAGCGGTTCTGCTGCGGGTACGTGGCGCACGGCCGCAGCGCCCCCACGACCGGCGCGCACGCCTCGTCCCGCGCGCCCGACGCCTGCACGTGGATGACGCTCTGGCGCGCTGGCGCCGGGGGGCTGCGGCCGGAGGATCGGTACCTGGCTGCCGCACGCCGCGCGCCTAGCCGGGGAGGGCCGTGCGCCGCCGCCGCCGCGCCGCCGCCGCCGCGGGCGGGGCTCGGCCTCTCCTTGAGCTTGAGCACCAGCTGCGTGGGCGGGCCCGGAGAGGCGCGCTCCGGGACCGGCGCGCCCTCCGTCTCCGGTCTGCGCGCTGGCCGCTTGGCCGTGGAGGAGGAGGCGGCGGCGGCGGCGGCGGCGGCGGCAGTGGCCGCGTCGCGGCGCCGCTGCTCCTGCTCGGCGCTGAAGCGCTCCTGCGCGCTGGTCAGGTAGTAGCCGATCATCTCCTCGTGGAACTGGTGCCGGTGGCTGGTAAGCAGCAGGCCGGCGAAGATGAACTTGCGCTCGCCCTGCATGGCGGCGCGCAGGATGTTGAGGCTCAGCTTCACGTCCGTGCTGTACTTCCAGGCGTCGCCCCGCGGCCCGCCGCCCTTCTCCGCCGGCGACGCGCCCGCCGCCTTGTCCGTGGGCGACGGCGTGGTCTTCTCCGAGGGCGACGTGCTTGCCGACGCACCCGACTCCTCCTTGCTGCCCTTGCGCGACTTGGCCTTCTTCTCCTTGCCCCGCTCTGCCGAGTCCCCGTTCTTGCCGTTGGCGGAGTTGGCGCGGCCCATCTTGCCGTGCACCAGGCCGCCGAGACCGCCCATGTTTTTCTTCAGCTTGATGCCCAGCGTCTTGCTGAAGCTGCCCAGCTTGTTGGCCACGGAGTCGGCGCGCGTCTTGTCCTTCTCCTTGCGCTGCTTCTCCTTCTCCTTGTCCTTGCCGTTCTTGCCGTTGTTGCTGTTGGAATTGCTGCACACCGAGTCGCGGTCCGAGTCCAGCGAGTCGGCCAGGGACTGCACGTCCTCCCCTGCCGAGGCCGTGGGAGACTCCGGCTGTGCCAGGGGCGCCTGTGTGGAGAGGGAGGGCCGGAGTGAAGATGGTTAGAGAAGAGCGGTCCACGGGCTGGCCGAGGAAGAGACACCTTGCCCCTGTCTTGCCAAGGCTGGGGCCCTCAAGGTTCACTGTCCCAGCCCCCACTGTCTCTCTGGTGACTATGATACCTGGATGGGCGGTGCTGAAGGAAAGGAGCGGAAAGGAGTGGGCTCTGATTCGCTGCAGTAGTAAAAGGATGCAGGGACTTCTTATCTGCGTGTGTCTTCTGGCCACGGAAGCTGGGGTGTGCTCATTCTTTCTCTCTGGGGGACCTCAGGTACTTGGTAGCCTGGAACCCTGAGTGGGGGATTGGGGCATGGTGCAAATACCCCACTGGCCTTGGTCCCCAGAGCCTTGTCACAGTTCAGAGAATGATCAGGTTCAGACTCTGGCCTTCCCCACTAACAAGGCCGCCTGCTTGACCAGACACAGGTCCCAGGCCAGCCTCTGTGAAGATGGAGGCCTTCAGGTGGGGAGGACACTGGGCCTGCACAAAACTGTCTCCCTTGAAAAGATGTCCCGCCTCCTCACGCCAGGCAGGGGACAGAAACCTTGTACTCAATCTCATTCATCGGATCTTGAATCAAACACCCCCTTGATTCAGGGATGCCAAATCGCTTCAGGGGTTCCTTTCTCACTCAGTTTGGCAAGGTGGAGTGCTAAATTGAGGAGGATTCTGAAATAGGCCTGCGCTCAGCAAAAAAGATGTTCCCATTCCCAGAAAAGGACCCCTGGGTGGTTTGGGGTGGGGTGACGCTGGGAAGCACGGCTTGGATGAGACCCACTGAGGTGGTCAGCCAGTCTGAGAAGGGCACGACCATATCTGGGGCTGGGAGAACCTGAGAAAAGAGATGGGAGGGCAGAGAGGCAGGCAGCACCTACTGCGTCTGCAGAGGGACCTCCCTGGGTGAGGAGAGAATTCTGACTGTCACTGGACGAGAGGCAGGATCCCTCATGCTGGCTGCTGGGTGCTGCAGGAACTGGTGCCCATACCTGAACAGGCTTCCTTGGCCTCCAGGGGATAAGCCTGGGAGAAGGCTCCCATTGCTCCCCCACTTAATTTTTGTCTCCCCACCCCCAGGCCCCTCAAGCAAGTCCATGAGTCGGTGACTGTCCTGTGACCAGGTCACCCTGAAGCAAACGTGGGCAGAACTGACCCACACCACCTCCCACTCTGAAATTCCTTTCCCCTTCCCACCTGGGATAGGAAGGTGTGAAGTGTCTCAGACCAGTGTGTGAGACACTAAAGGGTGGACACGGGCTGGGCCAGGAACGGAGGTGTGCCTGGTGCTAGCAGGAGGGCACTGAGAGCGGGCTCAGGAGTCCCTGGCTGGAAGAACCCTTCCCACGGTTGTCAGCTGAGAGCCTTGCATCTGACATGAAGGCACCGAGGCCTGGCAATTGCAGGCAAAGCTATGCTCAGCCCGAGAGCCTCCTGATTCCAGATCCTGAGCCGCTGCCATCACTCCCCATGTGGGTGCTGAAGAAGAACAGCCACAGCACCACCGGAGTGCTCCGGGCCTTTGAGAGGCAGCACTCAGACTGCCACCGACTGGCTGTCACTTACGCCATCAGTAAAATGGGGTATCAGTCCCCGCCTCGTGGAGCCCTGGGAGATGAAGTACAGGCAAAGGCCGGAGTCTGAGAGCACTGAGCAGTGCTGACCAGCCCCCGACTCCTTGACTTACACCTCTCCTTTACTAATTCCTTATGAGCCCCACTTCAAGCCTAAGTAACTGGCTGGAGAGGACCAATTATTTGCAGGCTGTTTTTTTTACAAATCTTTTTCCCTGGCAGCTCACTACTGAGATTTCAGAAAACATCAGTCAGATGCTTAAAATGAATCGCTCAGCGTCTGCAAGCAGGGGCAGCCCCGACCCTCTGGAGGCAGGCAGCCTCACGGGGCACGGGCCCCTCTCCTCACCTTCCTGCCAACTCCACCCACCAGCGTGCTGCCTCCGGGAGGGGAGGAAGGGGGCGCCGAGGAATCGCGCGCTCAGTTCCCTGGCTTTCTTGAGGACCCACACAGTTTATAATTAATTCCGCTCTGCGGCAGCACATTGTGTTCTGATCTCAGTAGAGATAGTTTTGTGTTGTGACTTGCCTGTCGCTTGTTTTCTGAGTGGGCGTGTTTATTCCTTTTCCAGAAAATAGGGGGACAAAAATCCTTTTACAAGAGTGCATGCTTGCATGCACACATGCCTACACGTGTGTACACACCCACTGGGTCCAACCAGAGCCACTTCAAACCCCAGCCAGGGTGGCTAGGTCAAAGGGATGGGGGAGCTACTGGGCTGTGGGTATGGCTGGCGTGGGTGACCAGGCAGGGGCAGGCAAGAGTGTGGGAGCATTTGGGAGGATGCACCCTGGCCAGGCTGGAGCTGAGCAGCCTGGACCCTACCGCCAGATCTGGTCCCAGCACAGCCAGGCTCACCCGTGTCTCGGAGGGGATCCGGATCCATGTCACATTCATGTAGCTGTGCAGAAGGTTCAGCTTGGCTTCTAGCGACAGGATAAGGCTGGCAAGAGAAGAATACCCTATTGAAATGGTCTGAGCTGGCCCTTGTAGCACCCAGCCCACCTGCATGCCAGCTGTCCCAGGAGGAGCAGGGGTGGTACGGCCCCTTCCCAGGATACCCCAGCCATAGCCCTCCCTGTGGGCGCTGGGGGAAGGGACAGAGTAGGGTCTTACTGGGCCAGCCGGGCGTTATCGTTGTCATCTTTCCCCCACTCCCAGTCCTTGCCAGGGTCCACTGCAAAGTGCAGAGGCAGCAGCTTGTGCTCAGAATCCGTCAGGGGGATCACGGCTGGAACAGAAGAGACAGAGCCGTGCTGGGAGCCCCGGCATTCCCCAGGGAGGATGGGAAGGAAATTCCCAAGCCAGGTGTTCAAGTGACAAGTGCACCGAGTGGAGATCTACACAGATCTGTGCCAGCAGGAGCATGAAGACCAAAACCACTATTGCTAGTTTTTAAAATTCCATATTTATTGCAGACAGTGGAGAGCAGTTGGAAGCGTCACCTGGACCCTGGGTCTCTTTGGGTCTGTCCAATGGCAGATACTCCGTTGGGCATCAGAATGGGAAAAAAGCTATTGCTGCTTCTGCTATTTCTAGGAAGGATCTAGGCAGGTTAGGCACACTTTGGGAGGCTACCTTGCAGGTGGGCCTGGGGCCCAGCTCTCCTGTCTCATCCCAGAGAAAGGCTGAATGTACAAGTCAGGTGAGCAAGGGTGTTGCTGACCTCTACTGGTTTGTGATTTTGTGCCACAAGTCTGTGTCAGTGCCTGGGACCCGTGGACCCACCCGCCCCTGCCCGTAGGAAGCTCACCTGTGCTGGGGACAGATAAGCAGGTTAACAAACACCTCATAATGTCAGGTGGTGATGAGCTCTGGAAGGGTAAACAGCAGGCAGAAGGCAGTGATGGTGAAGCCTTTCTCGGGTGGGGTCAGAGGGTCCTTTTGAGGAGGTCACATGTCAGTGGAGACTGCAGTGATGAGCAACTGGCTGGTCATTTCTCAGAGGGATTGACTCATCACAAAAGCTCTGTGGTGAAACTCACCACTCGTGGGAAATCCTGGCTCACTCCAGGAGGGCTAGGGTGGAGGGGGTGTCTACAGGTTTGGGATCTAGGAGCTTCTGAGCTGCTGGGGGACCTGATGAGAGGAGTTCCTCGTGACATGACTGACTCCTCCCAAGGGCATTGTCGGGGACAAGGGCGGGAGGAACTGGGAGATGATCTCCCCAAGTCTTTCCTCGGAGCAAGCAGCAGCCTCCTGTGGGCTCCAGTTAGCTCCCCTGCAGGCCCCACTCCTAGAAGTCACACCACAGCAGAGAAGCACAGCCCAGGGCCTTGGGTCAGCTGCTTTGCCTCTTTGCTGGAGCCCGTGATTCACAGCAAGGCTGCCATGGCAAGAACAAAAAGGCAAGGAAATAGATCAAATCGAAGACTGAATACCAATAGTTGATTTGGTAAGAAATTGGAAAAACTGACTCAATGCTGCCCTCCAGTGTTGCTTAAGAGGAAAAGTGGGTACAAGTAATTCCCCTCTCCACCCCTGCACCTTTTCTTCCCCAGCCTCCCCAAGCTGCGAATAAGGGAAATGCAGCTTTGCTGACCAATGGCCAGCTCCGGGCTTTCCTTTCTTTTCTTTTTTCTTTTTTTTTGAGACGGAGTCTCGCTCTGTCGCCCAGGCTGGAGTGCAGTGGCGCCATCTTGGCTCACTGCAAGCTCTGCCTCCCGGTTTCACGCCATTCTCCTGCCTCAGCCTCACGAGTAGCTGGGACTACAGGCACCCGCCACCACGCCTGGCTAATTTTTTGTATTTTTAGTAGAGACGGGGTTTCACTGTGTTAGCCGGGATGGTCTCGATCTCCTGACCTTGTGATCTGCCCGCCTTGTTCTCCCAAAGTGTTGGGATTACAGCGTGAGCCACTGCGCCTGGCCCGGGCTTTTCATTAATCTGGCTTGGGATTGGAAAGTGCAGTGCTCTGATTTGAGAGGTCAGGGGCAGCTTGGCCTGGCTTTGCTGCAGCCTGCTGGGTTCTGCCTTGACGTGGCCACCCTTCCCAGGTCTGAGCTGCAGAGTAGACACACCCAGGGAGGGCTGCAAGGCTGGCTCAGGGACAGGTCTCCCTTGGGTGGTGCCCAGCAGCCTGTCCCATAGTTCTATGAGTCACTACACAAACAGAGAAGGGGTTAGCCTCGCTTCTTACTCACGGGGCAGGGGGTGGCACAGGCTCTCCCCATCCACAATGTTTCCCTGAATACAGCAGTGCAGCTCCTGGGAGTTCCAAGCCCCCATGAACAGATGGACCAAACCAAAGTGTCCAGGAAAACGACTCAGAAAGTGACATTTTAAATAAGCATCTCCTGTGGCTTTTAAAATCAAGCAAATTCAGGAAATATTGTTCTAGAACAAGAATAATCTGTTAGAAGCAGTTCTTGTGGGTGCAAGTTGGACATTTTGGGTCTGGCTGTCCACCCGCTTCCCAGGGTAGAATTGCCATTGGAGAGCATCAGCCCAGCCACCACTCCATGTCTTAGCCACCCCGCCCCCAGGATTTAGGGGGAACAGGCACCTAGCGGCACCCATGGTCTGTGGGCAGAAGCAATGTGGGAAGTGTTGGGTGATGTGCTCAGGCATAGGGGGGCCTCTCCCCCACTTCCCTTCCATGGTGCCTGCAGAAGACAGCAGATCCCCACTAAAGAGCTGCCTGACAATTGAGAACACTCCCTTTAGACTTCCACTGTGTTAAGCCACTCTGATTTTGGTTTGTTTGTTTCAGACAAACCACCTAAGCTAAGACGGCACCCCAGTCACCCTCACCTCTCTATCATGGGGTTCCTGGGGACTCCTCCCCTCAACAGCAGGGCTGGAATGGACTCCCTTCCATTCCAGCTGCCCAGGGGTCCAGTGCACGGGGGGAATACCCCTGAAGGGACGACTGCCTGTCCACCTAGAAGGGCCCTGCAGCCTTGCGGCCTAGATCTGGCTGGGGTGAAGGACCAGCTACTGAGAGAGGCTCTACGGACGTGCCTGCTCACAACGGAAGACACCGAGGGGCTTAAAGGCAGGCTTCTCCGCAGAGGGTCAACTGCGGCCTGTGGTGAGGGCTAGGGCTGCAGAACCCAGGGACAGCTCAGGCCAGGAGGCCATGCAAACAGGTCCTCCTTGTGAGTAGCGGCCGCTGGGGATGCTTCTGCCTCTCACTGTACACCGTGACACTTCCCTATTGGAAACCTGGCTTTACCAGCAAGTAGCAGACGCACAGCAGCTTGCCCTCTGGTGGTAAATGTCTAGAACAGCAACTGCTTTTCAAAATGAGCCTAGAAAGGCCAGAAAGCTGTTTTGTTTTTGTTTTTGAAAGGCCTCTTGTATGTGTTTTAGAAACACATAGGCATCATCTCATACTAGCCTGAATATATTCTGAGTACGTATTTTCTAAAAAATCAAGATTTCTGGTTTTTGTCTCCGATGTGAGAAGCTGGAAGAGCATTGTTCCACCATGACAACGTGCCAGTCAAACTGCAAATTCACAACTTATCTTTAACCCAGCAGACAGCTGAAGTCACAGGGAAGCCGACTTATCCAATACCTAAGGAAACACAGGTGCCTCCAAGGAGAGACAGACATGAGCTTAAGAAGGGCCAATTCAGCTGGACCGCAGGAAGAATAATTCAGCTAAAATGGTTAAATTGGTAAAGGAAGAGTATCAGCTAGTGAAATAGTACGGAACCCTGGGGTTGAAGATATAAAGGGAATTCACATGCACTTGCAGGCTCCTCTCCACAGGACCTACCTGGTTCTCCCACAAAAGACTGGCAGGAATTCTAAGAGAGTGTCTCCATAGATATTTCTATCCCACCTCTACCAAGGAACAAAAGCTTAAAACTGCAGAGTATAGGGCAACAAACACTGGGTGCACTAAGGGTCATGTTCTGTTACTCTAATTAAGCATCTGTCTTAGGCAGGCACTGTATCCCTGGATCTGGGGATGGGGGTGACTCTCCTGGGCTAGCATGACTAGACTGGTCCAAACCTAGACTCTAAAAACCTAGCAAAAGGAAAGGCATGCTTCTTTCCAGGAATAAAGGTGATTTACTGCAGTCTTTACTGTCCCACTCAAGATGCCTGGCTGTCAGCAACAACAACAATAAAACCTATGAGGCGAAAGGAAAGATTAAAAAAACCCAACACATTGATAAAAGACAAATCAGTTAATAGAACAAGACTCAGATATGACACAGGTGTTGAAACTATCAGACAAGGAATTAAAAGTAACTGATTAATAAGTTAAGGACTAATAGAAAAGCTGGACACCATGCAAGATTTGATGGTTAATTTCAGCATACAGAACAAATCTATGAGAAAGAATTAAATGAAAATTCTAGAAATGAAAACACAATAATAGAGTGAAGAATGATTGAGGGGCTGGTCAGTTGACTTGATATAGTTGAGCAGAGAATCTGTAAACCTCAAGATAGGTTATTAGAAATTACACAAACTGAAACAGAAAAAAAAGGAGGTGGGAAAATGAACACAGCATCTAAGAGCTGTGTGACAATATCAGGCACCTTAAGTTCTGTGTAAATGAAATCCCAGAAGAGAGAAAGAACAAGGCAAAATTACATTTTAAAGAAATAATGGCTAAGAATTTTTCAAAATTAATGACAACCATCAACACAGGTCTAAGAAACTAAGAGAACACCAAGCAGGAAAAATAACAACAACACAAATATGCCTAAAATAGCATCTTAACACTTCTGAAACCCAAAGACAAAAAAAGCCTTGAAGGCAGCCTGAGAAAAAAGAGGATACATTATATATAGAGAAACAAAGATAAAAGTTACAGCAGACTTTTCATGGTAAAACAGGTAAGCCAGAAGATAATGGAGTGACATTTTTAAAGTACTGAAAGAAAAAAAACCAAAAAACTGTTCATCTATAATTCTATACCCAGCCAAAATATCTCTGAAACATGAAGAAGACATAAAGAGTTTTTCCAACAAAAGTGAGCAAATTCATTGCATGCAGACCTGAACTATAGGAGATGTTAAAGTGCAAGAAATATGGTACCACTAGAAACTTGTATTTACACAATTAAGAGTGATGGAAATGGAATAAATGGTTGTGAAAATTCATGTTTTTCTTCTTTTTAATTGCTCTAACAGATAACTGTCTAAAGCAAAGAGCAGCAGTGCATTATGAATTTATAACAGATGTAAAAATAAAATGTCTGATAATAACAGAAAGAATGGGAGGGAGGGATAGGTAATACACTGTTGTAATATCCTTACACAACAT